TTGTTAACTGATGGCAAGGGGGTTTTATAGCCTCACTTTCTTTGCAGTGTGGAGTGAATATAGATCTCACATTTAAATATTCTAAGCTCAAATGGGTAGGTGGCGTAAGCTACCGCCCGATCCAAAGGGCTCAGCCGTATTCATCCATCCATTATGTGGAGCTCTCTCCGCCCTCCACAGATGGCGCTAGGTGTACGTCGTCGTGGAGCTCTCTCCACCAACATGCCCGCACTCAAAATACTGCGTCCTCGCAGTCTGTCACAGTCTTTGAGCCATGTGGGGCGGGGCGTCTACGCTGCCTCTGTGAACATCTTGTTGGAAAGTTCTATGCCGTCTCGGCCAAAGTAACGTTGGGCTCGGCCATGGTCACTCTGTCCTCGTTGACGTCCGCGGTGCTAGATCGGACTGTTGCTTCTGCATCCTCATCCGCAACGTCTTGGCCAGCTGGATCGATCGTGGAAGCACTTCAGTTGGCGTGCGGTTGCTGTCCGGGATTGTTCGATTTTGAAGGTTGTGGGATATGGTGTACGTTTGTTTGTCGGAGTCTGATCGTGTACGGCCCTTCGCACACAGGTGCGAATTTTCCTTGTCTTACACCGTTGTTATACTAGACCTTTTCTCCGATATCGTAGGTGGCTGGCGGATATTTTCTGTCGTGTGTCCGCTTTATGTTTTGAAGGTATTCGGTTAGGTTCTCAAATGCCTCTTGTCGGAGAGCATTGATGTCCACTTGTTCAATGTCTGAGTCGATAGATGGTTGTCGATGACTCTTCGCGGCGTGAAATTGAATAAGAGTTCGAACGGTGACGTTTTCAGTCCGGCGTGAAACTGTGTGTTCACTTATAGTCGCTCCAGTGATCCACGTCTCGACGTTCTTGCGTAGTGGTGGGAGAATCTTGCCGTTGGCTCTTTCGACTATGCCGTTCGTCTCCGGTGCGTATGGTACCGTGACGATGTGTTGGATACTATGACGTTGGAGGTACTCGTTTGCTGCTCTTGACGTGTTTGCGCTATCATTGTCCGAGATGATAGTTCGTGGAGTTCCGAACTTTGTCACAATGTCTTCCTCTATGAATTGAGGACGTGTGCGGTAGATTTGTTGGGCACTGCACGTTTCACAATGAACCTGGTTGTGAGGTCCACAGCTGTGATGAAGTGCTTGTTCTCGTCATCGGTGTTGATTGGTCCGACGTGGTCGATGGCCACAGAATCAAACGGTGTCGTGAAGATGACCCTGGGATTGGGAGCGCCTGGGTGCACGCCTGTCGCGTGATGGTGTTGTTGGCATATCTTGCACCCTCGAACATACTGCGTGATGTCGCGGTCCATGTTGCTCCAGTGGTATCGTCGTTCAAGTTTAGACTTCGTTCGGAGTGCGTCACCATGTCCACCGTCGTCATGATGGCTTCTCAGGACCGCGTTGCGCAGGGACTTGGGCACTTCGGTGCGGAGTCTCGTTGTGTCGTTCTGCTTTGTCACATGCATCAAAATGCCGTTGGCAAGCTGGAAGTTTCTCTCGAGACGTTTCCGGTGTGCCGTGTCTCCCGGTGTCTCGAGCTCTGCAATGATCGCTGCCAGCTCGGGGCCTTCGTCTTGTGCATCACGTAGTCGATTATCATTGGCTTTCAGTGCACAAATGGCGTTCACCTCGGGTCTCATGCGTGAAAGAGCATCAGCCACTGTTTGTCTTTCCAGGTGTGTGATGCACGGTGAAGTGATACTGTGCCAAATCGAGAACGATTTGTGCGAATCTTCGGTTTGGGTTCTTTTTTGACATGATGTGGGCTACGGCCCAGTTGTCCGTGAAGAGTTCGAAGTGTTCCAGACCTTGAAGGTATGGGTGAAAGCGATCCGTAATGGCCCAGTGAGCCGCTATCGCTTCTAGCTCGGTCGAGTGCTTGCTGCTGTCGGCGTCCGTTACTTTCTTGCTCGCGTATTCGACGACACGAGTAGAGTTGCCGTGCACTTGAACTAGTACTGCTCTGAATGCGACGTGTGAGGCGTCCACATACACCTGTGTTGGTAAGCTTGCATCAAAGTTTGCAAGCACTGGTGCTTCAATGTGTCATTGTTTTAAAGTGTCTTCGCTGGTGCACGTGTTGACAGCTCACCACGCTTTCGGTGCCGGTCGCCGCATGCGGTGGTGCTTTTCGACTTGATGTCGACTTGGGCGTCGTTCGAGCGTTCTCGCTGTTATGTCAGTCGATGACATAACCGTCGCGGTGACCGGGTGCGTTATATCCGTGGGCCGCTTGCTCATGTTTTTTTTTTTTTTTAGGTAGTCGTCGGTCGCTTCATACCGAGTTTTCACTGCTTGCCTGTCCGCATAGTCTTCGTTAGTGAGTCCTCATCGCCATGTTAGTCGTGTATGAGCTCAAGAATAAACAATATTAATTGAAACTCAACAATTTAATGCGGATTAAAATGGATTACAATTCGTGACGACATGACGTGCACGAGTTCTTCCCGCAATGCTCTTCCTCCCACCCGATGGCGCAAGGTGTCCGTCGTTGTGGAGCTCTCTCCGCCCTCCACAGAAGGCGCTAGGTGTCTGTCGTTGTGAAGCTCTCTCTGCTAACAGAGGGCAAGTGCCGCCTTTTCTTCACTGCGGCCATTATTATGTCTCTTCCCTCCTGACCGACGCCGAAAACAATCGCATATTTGAGGTAATTTATAAAGCTGCGTGTTCTTGGGGTTACCCGGCGCCCTTTCACGAGTGGTAAAGTTCAATGACAATAACAGCGTAATGATCTCATAAAAGAATGAAGACAAGTCGGTGGCTCCGTTAGCAGGCGGAAGAGCTATCACCACTCTGTGAGGGCCACCCAGCAACATTCAGGTATTCTACTCTGGAGCCACTGCTGCCTTTTCAGCCTAGTTGTCTTGTTGTTCAGGACTGGAGCTATGAACCGGCAGAAGTAGACAGCTAAGGTTGTTCGTCAGCAAGAAAACACCCCAATTTATTGAACTCGTACGTGATGCGTCTCTTTAACAGTCGGTCAAGGCAGTGGAAAATGAAGAAGGAAAGAAGATTCACACTTCAGAGATCGAAATCTAAACTACTAAGAAAGATGACTGACACCTGAGATGCAAAAGCAGCTATACTCCGTTCACCCTCATTAATCTGAGACCTCATTGGTCTCAGGTTCATAGGCCTCAGCCCTTAACTATAAGTTTTAATACTCATCATGTTTTCGGAATACGGCGTGTCAACAAGAACAAGATTTCAGTCAGAGCATAATCTAGGAGGTGTTGAAGAGGACGATAAATCTTATGTACCGATTCGCTAGGTTGGCTCTGAATATTAACTGGTTGGGGTGATCAGTGCATACTCATCTCATTCAAATGTAAATCTTATTTGTACGCTTTCATTCCTCAATTGCGATGCCTGTTTTTTTTTTTAATTTTGCACCCAGTTTCAGTTTGCTGAATATACGTAGTTAAAGGTACAAACAAGTATTGTCGCTTTCCGTTCCTTCCTGTTTATTAACCGTCGTCTTTCTAAACCTTGCAGATCAAACTGCAGGAATTTGGACGCAGGTGTGAACGACACTTCACAGCTTTGGAAAGGTGGCCTGTCACCAGCCGAGTCCCCCTTCGGTGGTGCAAGGCTTTTGTGCTACATTTTGTCTTTACACGAATGCGACAGAGTCACATCAAATGAGACGGCTACAGTTGAGCCTGCTGCACGCAAACTTTCCATTGTCAGTCTTACCTTACTTTGCCGACCAACCGCCCTCAACCCCCCCCCCCCCCCCTTTTCAAAGCCTAGCGGAGGCTTTCAACAATTTATTTATTTGAACTGTATAATCCCTCTAAGTATGCCTTAATGCAGACAAACTAAATAGCGTGTCTTACTGTTGGTCCTCTCATATTTAACCTACCGAAACTGTCTGCAGACGTGTTCGAAGCGCACACACGTTTGCTTCGAACACGTTTGCATTCAGTTTGGTAGGCCTAATATGAGAGGACACGAGAAAGAAACACACCTCGGACGGTTTCTGCACACTGCCTATTGCATGGTGTACGAGCAGTGTTACCGGGACTTTACGGAGCAAGTAAAAAAAATTTCAGGAGATGATTAGTCTATTAACGTAAGTGAGCAACCGAATTCGTCTGCTACGAAGCGTCATTCGCAGACAAAAAGAAAACAAGAAAATACTTTTATGTATTCTGCTATTGGACCGGATAAAGGCAGCCCTCTGGTAAAAGCCGAGTGCCGCAACGAAGTGATGCGGGACGCAAGCTGAAACTATAAGGCTCTGCTATACTTCCCGTTTGATGCGATTGACACAACAAGGGCTCCCTCTGAAAATCTCAAGCTCTGCTGCTGTACATAGCTCAAATTCTCCTATGCATGTAGTACACTCGGGACAAATATTACCGCGAGACTCCTGTCACCATCCGTGTGTTAGTGAGTAGTTCTCACCAAAAGAACTCTGAAACCAACTAAAGATATATATCATAGGTCAATAACTCTCGCCCAGTAAGACGCTGGGACATCACATTCAATCAGTACCCCAGAATGCTATCGCTCTCACCATGGACCAAACACCGACCGCTAAAACTGGTTTTGAAAAGGACGTTATCTTGTAGCCTAGCTGGTAAAACAGGCCTGAACAAAATCTGTAATAAGCGCCATGTTCCAGCCTGAACCATTCTTTCAGCACAGCCCGCGGGGACGTTGCAGAGGAGATGGATAGAAGGTGTTGAAAGTGCGTAAACAAAACCACGAGCGAACTAACGAAGGATTAAAAAAGTGTTCAGCTGTGGTGGTCTTGAAGATGAGACGCCTGTAAAAGGAAGCTGAAGCGGTTATGTATATGAGGAAACAAACTTAACTCGTCTTGATTTGGCTTCCAGGAAGTCCAGGTGGCAGAAAATCATTTTCAAAGTACTGCTGAAGGCCATCCTTCCCGGAGCGTGCCGTCGTAAAAGGAGCTTTCGGAATCTCCGCTTTCGCACATCTTCAGTGCCTATCGAAGTTATGCACGCGGACTCTTGATATTTTTAAAAAGGTCAGAAACGGATGTCACGACTGGTGCCAGTGTGGGGGAGTGGCAAGCTTGCAATCGCACGCGCTGCCACACGAGCGACATGCGCTTGGCAGCCGAAAGATCCTATATGACGTAGCGACTATAGTCCGTTTCACCTTATGTTGTACCACAGCGAAGCCTAGAAGAGCGAGCTCATAACGTTGGCAGCTGCCCTTAATGCACGAGAGTTTGTGCCACGGGGATGTGCCCTAAAGCCAGGAGCACGCGCCCATAGCCTTTCTTGTGGTACATCATAAGGTAAAATAGAGTATAGTCGGAGGGCTTTCCTGTTTTCTCGCGTTTAGTTACATCTTCGAAGAAAAAGAACGCAATATTCAGATTTATGAGATAAAACTACTCTAAAATCAACCTCTATCTCATTTTTTTTTTTAAATAACTGTTTTAGCTTCTTTTTAGTAGGGATGAAGAAAAGGGGGAAGCCGCTCTAAGCTCGTCCTAAGATGGAAGAAATAAAAATTTAAAAAAAAATAATTTGTGTTGCAACCGGGACTGTACTGCTGATAAACTGAAAAACGGTGTCGTTATTCATGAATCTTTAGTTCTTGATTTAAATGCTCTGCAAATGCGCGTTATCCAGTTTTTGCCTTCTTTTTCCACGTCTGCGTCACATTTCGTAATCATGCATTTTACTGCGCAGTTTGATCAAGCAATGAATAGCCAACTATACCAATTCCAAGCACTGATGCCCTTCAGTTTTAGTTCTGCTCATTGAATGTGATGATATTTGAGGGCAGGTAAAGTAACTTTGTGTTGGCGAATGTTTATTAACCCTCATCCTTCTAAACTTTGCAGGTCGAACTATCCGGAAATCCACTTAATGCAAGTGTGAGCGACCTTTCGCTGCCTAGGAAAGAGGTCCGGCAATCCGCCAGGTCAATCTATGGCAGTGCCAGAACTTTGGGCTACATTTTCCCCCAGATGAATGGGGCCGACTAGTCTGATCAAATAGGGAATGGCCACAGCGCAGTCAACATGCAACATTTCCATTCCCTTCCCTATGTTTGTCTGCCGACACACCAAGTCCGTTTTGTTGACGTGTAATTCTCAAAACCTATGACGGTGATACACCGTACAGTGTTTGCTTTTGTAGCATGGACTGCCTTTTTCAGCACTACGAAGCAGGAGCGCTGAGACAACAACACGCTCCTTGATCTTATCCAGTTGCGTCTTTCTCAAATTTTGTGGGACTGTATCGATGTAATCCTTTACCGCATGTTTAAGGTGAAGTGAAACTTTTGAAGCACGTATTTAATAGAGAAGAATCGCTTTTATGTATATATGATTCACGTGCATTTTTACAATCATTGTTTTCGAGATTTTAAGTATTCACTTATGATGCGCGTGTTTTTTGTGATATGATTATTTTACCTTATGATTTACACCGCAATACGAATGTAAACCCCTGAATTTCTTTCTTGACTTCATCAGCATGATGCGTCCCTGTTTGTTTGTTCCTTAAGGTCGTTCTGGTTGGGCTTCTCTCTTGGTGTAGTATAAATAAAAAGAAAGGAACTAAAGAAAATTTGATCTTCACTCCTAACAGATATTGCCCAGGCAGCATTCGACTACGAATGGCAGGGAACGGACTGCGAGGACAAGAGGGCGGAGCTCTCCTTCCAAGGAGCCGAATCGCAGAAGCAACCATCGAGGATGGAACAGGAGGGGAGGACAAACAGCGGTGCGACCTCTTCCCCAAATCTTATGGTGCCCACAGAAATAACAACACCAGGCATGAAAAGATGCAAACGGGACAATGGACCTTTTTCCAGTAAGCGTCTGCGCACGCGCATACCCTTTTCCCTTGACCTTGACCGCCCTTTCGCCATTCTTGGGGGGCACTGTTTTCTTGTGACAGTAATCTGTTTCCATGGGAGAAGGCGAGTCCGGTTGCCCTCCATTTGTAGTAGGCGGCGAAACCGCCATGAGGCGCTCCTTACTGGAAAAAGGTCCATTTTCATACAGCTTCGCACCTTCTTAAAACACCCTTACGGATTCATGAACAGTCCCTCATGGATAAAAAAACCTTTTTGTAGGCTCGGTTTTCTAGAAAATGGAAAGCGTGAGGAGTCTGATGTGGCACGCAAAGTTTCTTCCACGTGGAAACTTCTTTAAAGTTTGATTAGCGCCCTGCAACGAGCAGGAAAGTGTACCACAACAAATTGCAAAGTTTATGTTCTTAGAAAAGGGGTGGATAAAGTAGTTAATAATAATAATACTAGTAATTCCTTTATTTTTCCAACAAAAAGTTGAAAGGTGACTAGGGAAAAAAGCTGTCAGCTTGACTGGCCTCTAGCCACCCCAAACAAGCAGTCGCAAAGCAAGCACCAAAGGAATTATACAATGAAACTTTACAAATTCATAAATATAAATGAAAAAAATCACACAAAAGAAACAGCGTTTTACAAAGCAATAAAACATTGAATCAACACACACACAGTGCATTCTAACTAAGTGCAACACAATCAGCGCTCGTTGATAATAAGGTTTGAAATAAAATATTCCCTTAAAATGCTCACCGATGTACTGTTGATATCTATATCTTGCCTAGTCAGCTGATTAAGAATATTTGGTAAAGTATATGCCATTGTTTGATTACCGTAATTGGTTCTAGAAAATGGTACTTCCTAGGGTTCCTTAATCCGTGTTGGATACGTATATACTTTTTGTTTTAGGTTCGCTCGGTTTTCTAGGTGACGCTGGGGTAGATTTTTTTCCATAATATATTTTGCACATAAACAATATTTGTATACTTCAATAACTTTTATCATACCAAGTTGACAAAAAATATCACTAACTGGACATTCAATGACAACATTACATACACTTCTTAGTATCTTTTTTTGCAACATGTATATTTATGGAGTTTGGTATAGGTTGTGGTGCCCCATATGAGACGACCATAATTTAGATGTTTATAGAATAATGAATTATATGAAATTAACTTCGTATTGAGTGGTAAGATGTGTTTATTACAATATACAATACCAACTAAACAAGATAACTCGGATATAATATGATTGATATGGTCATCCCCATAATAGGTTTTCTTGAAAAACGACGCCTAAGGCGTCGTTTTTCAACTTTTTAAATTTGGGAACAATTTTAATTTGAGTAGAATTTAAAAAAAAATGTTCTTAGTAATATTGACTAGCCTATTTTTTGGTCGAAACAAAACTGCCTTCTTTTTATTCGCATTTATTCTTAAAGCATTATGTTTACTCCAAATATGAAGCTTTTTCAGTGTTTCATTCGCATCATCTACAAGATCCGAGGCGTTATCGCCATTAAAGAATAGGCTTGCGTCATCATCATGAAAAACAAAGTATATGGATAGACTTATATTTAATATGTCATTTATATAAATGCTGAACAAAAAAGGCCCAAGAATACTTCCCTGAGGAACGCTTGATTCAATCGGCTCAGTTTGAGATATATGTCCATTTATATTAACATTCTGCCTACGGGAGGATAAATATGATTGTAAAAGTTGATACACTTGCCCACGAAATCCATACATATCTAATTTTTTAATATTAAATTATGACCGAGATAATCTAATGCTTTGGTAAAGTCAATGAATTAACCAAGCGTGAGTTCTCTTTTTTCAAATTTTTTAAGAATATGTTCTTTTTGCGCAAGAAGTGCGAGTTCTGTAGATCGTTGTTTGCGAAACCCAAATTGGGATGGACTTAAAATGTTATGCTTAGCAGCAAAAGCTGTTAATCGTTGAAGTATAATTTTTTATAGGCCTTTAGAAAATAGAGTATTGAAATAGGTTGGTAATTACCCAAGTCATTTTAGAGCGCAGCTCTTGGGGGCCCGTTTCCGGCTTGAGCGGCGTCGCCGTCGGCATAACCAAGGTCATCTCAAGGTCACGGGACCCCCAAGGTCACGTGACCCCTCCAAGGTCACGTGACCCCTCCAAGGTCACGTGACCCCTCCAAGGTCACGTGACCCCTCCCAAGGTCACCCCAAGGTCACGTGACCTTGGGAGTTACGTGACTCCCCGAGGTCACGAGACCCCTCTCAAGGTCACGTGACCCCCACGTGACTCCCAAGGCCACCCCAGGTCACGTGACCCCCCGAGGTCGCGTGACCCCCCCTCCCCGAAGTCACGTGACTCCCCCTTCCCGAGGTCACGTGACTCCCCGGAGCATATTAAAGAATGAGGGAAGGAGGAGGAGAAGGAGGAGGGGCCTACCCTTCCCTCCTCCTCTTCAAGAGCTGCGCTCCAATTCGGCGTTACAGGGAGTTGTAAACGGCTTTCACTTTTTTTATTACCTTGTATAAAACGGCTACTTTAGCCAGTTGCATTTGTTTAGGAAATACGCTGTCTAGCAAACATACATTAAAGATGTGCGTCAAAACAGGAGAAATAAGATCAATTACATATTTAACTGGTCTAATTTGTAAACCATCGGAATCACAACTTTTGCTATTTTTGAAGCATTAAAAACAGATATTACTTCCGAACTAGTAACAGGCGTAAGAAACAAAGAGTGATTATTTCAAACATTTATGTACTTGCAAGCATCTGACTCATTATTTTCTTTAACTTGACTTACAAAATACTCATTAAACGCATTAGCTAACTCTTTTCCGGACACCTCCTGACCATCGAGGTTTAACTTTTCTACTTGATTTTGGGAACATGAACGACTTAAGACAGAGTTTAACTTTTTCCATACAACGTCGACTTTGTTATTACAGGATAAAAATAAGTTGCAAAAATAAGATTCTTTTGCATGTCGTAGTTCTTTGTTTAGTTGGTTTCGATAACATTTAAAAATTTAACTTTTTCAGTTTCTTTCGTTGTTACAAATTCTTGATATAGCGTATTTTTAATACCAATTTTCGCGAGAAATTCTTTAGCGATCCAGGGTTTGCGACTTTTTCTAGAAGTTTTGAAAGTTTTAAGTGGAAAACAACCTTCATAAAGTTTTTTTTTAATTTACTAAAAAATAAGTTATGTGCATTATCTGCGTTCTTTTCTTGGTGGACATCATTCCAATCCAAACAAGATAGTCTCTGCCAGAAGTTGTTCAGGTTATCAGCTGTTATATTCTGGAACTGTGCCCCTGATTTTTTGTTTGTTTTTTGTTTGTAGCTTCATATTTATATATATACAAAAATATACCCAAATGATCGCTACTATCAGTTATTACTATGCCAGATTTTGTATCTCACTTATCGTAGCCTGTAATAAAAAGATCCAGTAGTGTTGATGATTCAGTGTTAATTCTCGTTGGGGCCGTTATCATATTCACACATCCGCATGTTTGGATCAGTGCTTTGAATTGCATAATATTTGTTGTCCTGGGTAACACGTTAATATTAGTCGCCTCCCAGAATTATGCTATATTTATTTTTATTCGCAAACTCTAAAAAAAACTCTAAATAAGCAAAAAAAGACGAAACATTTCCACTTGGCGGATGATAACACACTGCTATAATACTCTGCCCTATCAATAACGACATCTCGTAGTCTGTATCAATGCAACAGTAATCGGTAAGCATTTCACAGTAAAAGGTCTGCCTTTATCATGATTGCTACGCCCCTGCCTCGGCTTTCTGTGTGGTTTAAAAAGTAACAGTCATACATTGGTAATTTTACGTCACTAGAATCAGTGTACCACGTCTCAGAAAGCAAAATTGCATCAAAGGAAAAATTTAACTGACGTAAGAGTACTTCGAGCTCGTCTGCTTTATTTGGCGCTGATCATGCGTTTATGTGGAAACATTTGAGGGAGCTTATGCGCTTGTCTCCCAAGGAAAATTTTACATTCGACGGAAGGAAATAATAATTACTTGACATAGCGATTTGGGCATCAAGTGAACCCTTTCGTGTTAGCCATTGCATACAAAATATCTTAAAACTTTTGTAAATATGCGAGGCATCAAACTAGCTTCTGCAAGTCATCTATAGACTTAATTATGTGTACTGGCTCGCAATCCCTTTTGCGCACAAGGATGTTGCCATTCCTATGCAAGACGTACTGGTAGCTCATAGTTTTAGCCCATTCTTTTGCCTCCCAAAAAAGCGCCCCGACTTCTTTCGTGAGGTTCTCCTGGATGTAAGTGTTCTCTTTTTGTTTCTTCAGATTTGTCCGTTTGCTTAGCCATTCATCCCTGGTTTTCTGTTGAGCAAAATGCATAATAATACCTGGAATTTTTCCTGGTCGGGACAGTAGTCAATGAATGCTAGCCACATCGATTAGATTCAAGTCTGGCACTTCCAGTTTCTTTGCAACCGCATTTGCTTTTGCTAACAGATCTTCGTTGTCAGTTTTAGGCACTCCATGAATCTCGAGATTTCGCTTTCGGCTTCCCCATTCAAGTGTGTTGACTTCCTGCTTAAGTTTTTTTATTTCTACGTCGGCATTGGTTCTTTCCAGGGTCTCCATAAGTTTTAGGGGCGAAGCTCCTTAGGGTCTAACCTTCTCCGTCCGTCCATCTGTGCTCACATAAAAAGAAAAAATGTTTGTGCAGTCGACAGGATTCAAACCTGTGCGGGGAGACCCCAATGGATTTCTAGTCCATCGCCTTAACCACTCGGCCACGACTGCGGGACGAGTAGGGGGCTCTGAGATGTGGTAGTAACTCGAGAGCTGGGGTTTCTGTCATGGATGAAACGTTGCATGTAGCCGCTCAACGTCTATACAGGAGAGGGCACTGCAGTCAAATGTGTATATAATCGCATTAAACTTTGCATGCCTTGGCTCAACGTTTTTAGACGAGAGGGCGCTGCAGTCAAATGCTCAAATGCGTATATAACCACGTTCCATACCACACATTCTCTTTCTGACATGGACCGTTGACTTAAGCGGTGGAGATGCGTTCCCACGGCTTCTAGAGGATCCAAGCTGATCCGCTAGAAGAACCTCTGGCTCTGCATTTCGCCGACCATAAAGCAGCAATAATGAAGTCGAAATGCAACCCGGAACTCAGCACTACCTATGAGCAATAAAAAATAAAATCAGCACCATCAGCACTACCTATGAACAGTAAATTCAGTATCATCAGCACCACCAGAGCTTCGCCCCAATCAACATCATTTACCACGTGGAGATGCGGTCATTTTTGTTTTTAGTTGCCTCATCTCCTTTTTTTACTCACCGATATCTTTTAGTACTTCGTCTTACTTATCCGACATTTCCTGCATGGATTTCTCTATGCCACTCACAGTTTCCTTTAGGGTCATAAGGCTGTCTAGCTTGGCATTTATGGCGGCAAGCATCAAAGCTATATTGGGTTCCGTATCCTCTTTGGCGCTCTGACTGCCTCCCCGAGATTTCACAGTTTTGCATGTTGGGCATCGTCATGACTTGCGTAAAGCATTAAAGCGACTTTTAGGTCAAAGAGCGTAAAGCCCTTTGACCTGAAAGTCTCTTTGGTTATACCAGAGGTGTAGACAGTCCTAGATTATTCTAAAGTCCGAGAACGACAACTCAAGTGAAAGTAAACAATCAAGCTGGGCTCTACTGGAAGAACATTCAGTCCGAGCACTCGAAGTTTCAATTGCTACACCATATTTGATATCCAAAAAATTACCGTGTTGAGTTGTTTATTTATTTTAAAAAATTGTCTTCTTTTTTAGTTTTGGTTGATCGAGTAGCTGTCAAAACACTATAAATTATTTTTTATGAATGAAATAGCCCAATAAACGTTTGGCGTTTCAAACGATTGAATATTTTCTGACAACTATATTTGTGTCGCCGAAGCTTAGCTTTAGACTGGCAATTGTCTATACCAATACCGATTTGAAATAGCGTTTTTCGCTGTTTCGAATCGCTCGTAAAATTAGCAAATTTTGAATTTTCTAAGGTACAAAATGATTATTTAAAGAGCCTTTTGAATGCAATTTTGTCAAATCTAGTCATTTGTGGGCGTGTGGAATACCCTTCCAGCGTTACTTAATACTCAGTCGAGATCATTGTGAATGCCAACACGCTATCACCCAGCGCTCCGTACTCGCAGCGTTATGCAGCCGCAGTGTTTTAGGCGTTACCGAAAAAAGTAACAATATACGTTACTCGTTACTTTCAAAATAAATAAATGCGTTATCGACCTATGCTACTTAAAAAATAAAAGGAATGCGTTACCGTTACTGACAGAAAGTAAAGCCGTTACTCTTCCGACTTTTTGTATTTATATATGAATGATAAAAAAGTTTGTGCGTGTGTGTGTGTGTTTGTGAGAGAGAGATAATGAGCGCGGGCGTTGGGGTTTTTCAAAAGGGGAACATTTTGCATAGGGAAAGGGCAGGAAAATTTTTCAAAAATGTGCAGAGTAAGTGCAATAATTAATTACTTGGGTCACATACTATGTTTCAGCTTAACTCCAGCTGCAGCCGATGCTACAAGCTAATGGGACCATTAAAGCAGCATCAAAAGCGCAAGTCACTGGGTCTTGCTTGTTCATGAATGGTACAGTGACACGACGAACACAATGATGGTGCCCTTTTCACTCTTTCTGATTGGTACCATCAGCTTGTAGTGGCGGCTTCGTCTGGACGTAAGGTAAAACGAAGTATAGAAACGCGTAAAAAAATATGTGCACTTTTTCAGGTTTATGTATACCAAGTAAAATAATTATGTTACCCGTTACTCCAAATAAGTAACCTAAGCACATTACCCATTACTGTCTTGGAAAAGTAACGACTACGTTACTGAGAAAGGAACTCCTTACCGGTTACGACGTTACTTGTAACATCTTACCACCAACACTGCAGTGGCGACCGCGGCTGCTTGAGTTTCCTTCTGCACTTGATTAGCACAACACGCAAGCCACCACACCTGCCGCACCATGTGGCTGCCAGAGTCGAGTCTTTAACAATCGCCTGTAGACCTTTACAAGCATTGCGATTGAACTTTCTTAACATCTCAAATGAATGAATACCTACTTTAGACCGTACCGGCATAATGTATGTATTCAGGGCCATGTTCATCTAGGTACTCAAATCTCATGTTCAGAACTACAAAAACAGTTTTGATATTTCTTGTTTTGTCGTGTCATTCCAACAGATTGGATCGAAGCATACCATAACGAAGAAGTGGATATCTTGGACCATGACAGCCGCAAGGGTGACACCTCTCCTCAGAACAACCGGTCAGACCCACACAAGCAGCAAACGCACCGACAACTGGACAAGCACCCGTGCCGCTTCTGTCCTTACTCAAGCTCTTCCGCAACAACTGTCGCCATCCACGAGAGGACTCACACTGGCGAGAGGCCCTTCAGTTGCGGTGCATGCGAGAAAACGTTCAGGCGAAAGGCTAGCTTGATAGTGCACGTTAGAATTCACACCGGAGAGAAGCCGTTCAAGTGCAACACGTGCAGCAGAGCATTTGGTCATAAAAGCACCTTGGTGGATCACGCAAGGATTCATACAGGAGAGAAGCCGTTCAGGTGCAACACTTGCAGCAGGGCGTTTCCTCGGAAGTACCAGTTGGCGAATCATGAGAGGACTCACACCGGAGAGAAGCCGTTCAAGTGCAACACGTGCAGCAGAGCATTTGGTCATAAAAGGACCTTGGTGGATCACGCAAGGATTCATACAGGAGAGAAGCCGTTCAGGTGCAAGACGTGCAGCAGGGCGTTTATTCAGAAAAGCAGCTTGGCGATTCATGAGAGAACTCACACTCGAGAGAAGCCGTACAAGTGCGAGACTTGCAGTAGAGTGTTTGCGTCTCATGCCGGTTTACAGAATCATCGAAAGATACATCGCAAGTGATTGAAACCATCTTATGCGTCATAGCTGTGGAGGGGGTTAAAACAAAATACTCGAGCTCATACATGTGTTCATTTCCTTTGGCGATAGACCTGCAGTGGTTCTACTTGTGAGCAGTGTAGGTTTTGCATGGTTCAAAATAATTCAGCCATTTATTTATCGTGTAATCACAAATAAAAATGTGAATTTAGCTTAAAAGATGCAAGCGGGATTCTTTTTTGTACACAAAGAATTACTGGAAGCATACTATATTTTATTAATTTAGAGTCCTTAATCACGTGCTGCACCTGTAGTCTGGATTGTCTAGGTTCATTTATGTTGCTTACAAGTCGGCCTGCTAATAACCAAAAAAATGCGAAATAATAAAATAACTAAGGTCTTTCAATAGCAACAGTCTTGAATAATGTAAAAGTTTAAAAAGAAAAACCGAGTAATGCTAACACAACATAAAGATGCAGAAATAAAATTATATTGAAGCCTAATTAACACACCAAGCTGGTAACTAATGCTTTGCACATAGGACTGGAACAGAATATACAACACTCGAAGTATTAAAAAAGCAATGTCTTGTTTTCTATCTTTTGTCTTAATTTTCTTCGTCCTTTTTTTCTTATTGACCGGTTTGAGTTGCTGAATCCCAGTGACACCATTCAATGTGCTTCCTACATGAACTACTTTTATGTATGTCTTTCTTGCATAATTTTTGTTCGCACCTTGACGAGGATGGCTCTTTGTTTGGAATTCATCAAGCTCCACTTGTATTCGTCAGTCCTTTATTAACTCAAACTTCCTCTTGTGCTAGATGTATCATATAAATTTGCTTTACTAAAACCATATTTCACTCCACTTTGAATATTCATGTGTGTAAACCCTGTATAGGCATAATCCATGCATCTATATATGTTTTGTTCTACACTGACTGAACAGTGATTGTCAATATTGTCTGACGTGCCACAATTGCTGCAGGTGGAGTTCTATTCCCATATGTGTAAAATAAATTTGTTTCGACATATGCAGGGTGTTTCCGGACACGCCGGCCAATTCGGTTCTGCAAAAACTATGCCTTGCACAAAAAAAAAAAAAGGTTGATGCCGTTGTGGTTTGCGTAAAAAAAATTGTTAGTGTTCAATATATAATTGGATAATTAATAACTTTTGAGTACTTAAATTCTTAATAGCTTTAAAATCATGGTTTCAATTAGAACTTTGCTCGGCATCACTGAGAACTACTAAATACACCCACATTACAATAATATATGGCACGCGCAGCATTTTACGGCGTTACGAAGAAATGCTCAATTTGAGCGCGATTCTGGCTTTCAGTTTCTTATCAAAGCGCATCTCCGCGCGAGCAATCCCGGCTCCCGCGTTATAAAACGCACAACATGCGTGCGTCGCCATGCATTGCACGTGAAGGTGCGTCTTCACACTGGCACCAATGTTAAAAAGGCAGACCTCATGTGACAGTCCGGAAGGCTATCGTAAGCGCGATCCAAACCAACGCGTTTTCGTGCTCGCGAAAGTCGTGTGCTTTCCGGAAATTGCGTATTTCGTGACGTTTTTGCTGCTTCCGGTGCGCTTTCTTATAGCACCTTCGATCAACTCGCACCGGAATCGCCCAGAAACCAGCACAGTGCACAGCGCTCCTCGGTCGTGCAGCGCGATGTCGGTGCAACATCGAGGACAAACTGCGCCGCGCCGGTGCACCGCGGCGAGCTCCACCTTGCGTCACTTCGCGTTTTGTTCGTTTATTTTGCGTAGGTCAGCGCACGGTGCCCGTCTGCTGTCAATTTCTTCTATTTATTTACTCGCGGATTTGACGGTCCCACAGAAATAAACATCGTGGACGTGATTGTCGATGGGGTCACGAAGCGGGTGACAATTCCACATGTATATGTTGGCCATCATTATTAGTTCAAGAAAACGAAACAACAGATAATAGCCGTACCTCGCTGTCATCGAAACGCCTCGCGCCGCTTTCCACGAAGTTCGTGCTTTTCGGGCGCTCCTTGCCACCGCAGCAATCGCCAGTAATCGCGGCGGGGGTGAGAAGCTCGTCGTCTCGCCGTCAGAAGACCCGAGGAAATCATCTAGTGCAGCTGCGAGGCGTGTTCGTTTTTGCAAGATCGCCATCTCGATAGTCTGCGCGTCTGCTACTCCCGCCATCTCGATTCCCGCTCCTGGCCGCAATGCCTGATGGGATTGCCCCCCCGGCGCACCGCCGATTTTCTTGGTGCGCGTTGGGGCAACGAAAAGCCGCACCGGGAGGGTGCGCTTCGTTGATCGAGGACGTACGGTGCGCACCGGTGCACTTGATCGAAGATGAAGGGGCGCACCTCAGTGCCCCGGTGCGCACCGGTGCGGATGATCGAGGATGCTATTAAAGTGCGGAGAGCATCTGCACCCGATGGCGAAGAAACGCGGAGCCAGAACTGGTGCTCTCACCCGATTGGCCGCGGGAGAGGAACGCCCGCGGCCAATCGACCGTCACATCGCGTTTTTGTGCGCGTTCAGGAAAAGTTGAAATCAACCTGCTTGGTTGAAGTCATCCAACTTTCTTATCCGCGCCCGGAAGGCGCAAGAAATCAGCGCGACGTCACGAAATACGCAATTTCCGGGAAGCGCACGACCTATCGGCGCACAAAAACGCGTTGGTTTGGACCCCGCTTCAACGTGCAATGGGCAGCGGCTCAAGCACGTTGCACGTGGGGACCGGGATTGCTCGCGCGGAGATGCGCTTTGATAAGAAACCGAAACCAAGACACGCGTCCAAATTGAGCATTTCTTCGAAACACCGCAAAAATGCTGCTGTCGGTGTATTTAGTAGTTTTTGATTATGCACAGGAAGATTCTATTTGAAACCATGCCTTCAAAATCAATATTTCACAAGATGATTACTTAAAATCACTCACCTACCCTATTATGTTGCACGCTGATAATTTTCCTTAATGGCTGGTGCAAAGGGCCTAAGCTGGCAGGGTGGTGCTAGCTACGAGCCCGTTTGACCACTCGTACATCGATCTTCCGCCGCATACCCCCTGTCACGTGACCCACAGCAGCGCGCGAGCTACACGAGCTACACGCTGGTAAGCATCGAGATCCGGAAGAGTGCGCCTGGCAGCCGCTTTTTTCTTTGTCTGCTTGTTGTCAGTTCCAGCTCGAACTTCACGCGTGCACCTGCTTCGATCTGTCGCCTAACCCTGCGGTCTTATTAGGATGTCTCTCGCCAACGTATCGGATGTGCACCAAAGCTATCAGTGTTCGAAAAGTCCTACGCAAGTCAGGAATTCTTGCGGTTTGGTTGGGTTCGGCAAATGACAGCTTGTGCGCCACGTCGTAAACTTGCAAGGAGCCGTTGTCTCTCGTTTGTGTTTGTGTGGTTGTCCTGCTTTGACCGTGTCGACAAATATCACAAACTACATCTTTCAATAAGTCCGCTATTTTTATGGTAAGTCCGCTGCAACCTACTTCTTCGCAGCGATTGACCGTTCTTCTACTCGTACTCTTCCAGATTATCTATATAATTATGCAGCCACTATTCTCGCGGCAGCCGGGCGAATAATTTCCCGAAAGTCTACCTTCATAATCTAATTACCTCGGTTTTGTTTGCTTGCTATCTTCTCAGTTGTATAAAGGCTTAGAGTGCCTCTCACATTTCACAGATCGCTTGCACGCTTGTACTTGTCTGCAGAAGACGTAATAAACTTTGAGGGGAATTGAAAACAATCTTTTGTGTCTGTTTTCCTGTCCATTTGCAAGCAACTACGTGAGCACATTTGTTCTACGTGTTTCCTCCGTGTTATAAATAGGTTTAGGAGTTTCAGAACGTCTTAAGTAAGTTTAAAATAACCAACCTACCAGACGATCCCCCTTTAGGGCTAGCGCATAATTTCCCGATTCGAATGGCACGTTCAAACGTGTGGTCACGTGTAAGGTCGAACGGGCACCCTTATCAAACGGGTAACGTTTCGAGCGGGTACCGTTTCAAACGGCTACCCGTATCCCATAATCACGTTTGATCCAAACGGGTCGACAAGTTTGCACCCGTTTGATTTGAACGGGTCGACCAGTTTGCCACCCGTTTGAATTTCAAATGTTTTTTTTTTTTCAGTAGGGATGGAACGTCTTCTATTTAACCTTTTTTTTCTTTTTCTTTTTTTTTTTTTGCAACAAGTGTTTTTTTGTTTTTGTTTTTTTAGATTCGTCAACGTTGTTGTACCCGATACTAAATTACAATAATTTAGTTGCTCAAACGTTCAGTTGAAGTTCAGCGCTCTTCTTGTGCATTCCTCCCTTTGTCCTTGTACTTTTGCGTGCTGCTAGCAGTTGTAATCAGGAACCAACTCGCCTGCATCACCACAAATTGATCTGAATCGTTGATCCAGTAACTTGGTGGGGATTCCATGTAACTGAGCCGTATTCTAATTTACTTCCTAACGAGAGATGTATAAGCTCAGATTTTTCTGTTAGCGTCGGCTAGAAACAGCAGTCTTCTCAGGAATCCCAGTGTTTTAGAAGCATGCCTTAAAGTTAGACAAATTTGGTGTTGGATGAACTCCTAAATATTTATGATTGCACCCTTTCGATTTCTTTGTGGGTAATATTGTAAGCATGTTCAGAATTTTTTTTTTTTTTTTTGTGAACGTTATTGCTTTAGTTTCTTTATATTAATCTGCATCTGCCAGTCAGCACACCATAGAATAGCGTTATCAGAAATAGAAGTCTGCGAAGAGACGGATGGTTGACTGTAGGGTGCCTCCATGTGTGCTTTGGTTAGGGTGGTGGCCAGTGGTGGAGGCATCTGGCCATTTTGTCCCACACGTTTATTTTTCTTTTTTTGCTCAGAAGCGCGTGAAAGAGCGTGTCCCTGCACGCGTTTGTGGCGCTGACTGTGCTATGGCGACATTTTGTTTTTGTCGATTTCTTTGTATTTTACCCGTGAGCGCGTGCTGTGGGCATCGGGTCTACAAAGGGTGGCATCACCCTAAACAGAAGGACATTGAGGCACCCTAGTTGACTGTATGTTAGTGTGAATATCGGTGATGAGAAGAGGAGATGCCTAGAGCCACTAAATGAGCTACGTCCTTGATCTGGTAGAGGGCGCCGCCATCTTGGTGCTTAGTGCAGAATAGACGGAACTGTCGATAATCACAATTGACTCCGTAAGTGTGACGTCATGGGTCCAAACAAACCGTTGCTAGGGTCATTGTTATGGACAAATACGTGTGGCTAGGTTTCACTACGAAAACCCGACCGTTCAAAAATCGGGAGTAGGATTTAAACTTCTAAAAATCACAGATATAGAAAGCTTGAATGTCATATATGTTTCGACAGAAGTGTGCCGGTAATCGCTTGTTTCTGAAATATTTACGGCTGCAACTTCCGGTCCTCAAGATGCCTGCAGCAGACGACGACTGCAAGAAGAATGCCGTCTGCCACACGCCCGCTGGGCAAGCCGGCGCCGGCGTCTGAATCGGGCGAATAAAGACGATATTCTGATATTGCATTTGTTTGAAATATAATGAGTTTCAGACACTTATAAGAATTCATAGTGGGGTTCGATGCAAAATATTGTT